GCCACTGTAAAGTGAACGGCTCCAGTGAAGTTAGGAGGGCGTTGAGGCAGTGCAGGGCCAACTCGAGAAGTCTTCCTGAAGGAAGTGCCCAGGGAAAGAACCAAATCCAGGAGTCCAGATCCACACAGGAGAGGCTCAGAGGAGTTGGGAGGAGCTGGGAAGAATAATTTTAAGAGCTTTAATTACTTCTTTCCCATAGCCACCCTGCCCCACCCATGCCCGACCACATCTACCTCCTTAAGAGGAGGTCATTGTGTAGAGATGGGGGCAATATGAAATGGGGTTCCACTGGCCCCCAACCTGGAAGGGGTGGGTCTCTGAGGAGAGTAGAAGTTCCCTCAAGCTTTTGTCCTTGGCTGGTGCTACTGGTCTGAGCAGCTAGAATGGAATGTTCTTGGGGTGAAAGGCCTACCCCCTCCTCTACTTCTCCCCCTTTGGAGTTCCCCAGGCCTGGGGCTGGGAGTGGGGAGGCTGGGAGGAGAACCATTCCAGAGATTCCTGATATGGTGATGCTCTGGAGAAGCAATGCCTCCACTAGTTGGGAGCTCTGTCCTGGCTGCCTTTCCTGGACCCAGTGGCTTTGTTGCATTAAACGTTTACAATTCCTACTATATGTTAGGTGTTAAATAGGATCCCTCATTTAATAATATTCTTGAGTTATCATTTCTGGAGCTGCCCACCCCTTGAAGACAACAAAAAAGAGGAAGAAATAACTCAGAGAAGTAACTTGTCTAAAGTAACCCAGCTGAGAAGTTCCAGACCAAGTCTGAATCCCACGTCTGTTTTGTTCCAAATCAGGCCACTCTCTGCCTGTCACCCTTGTTCTCTGCTATCCAGAGTGTAAGCTAGGCTCTTTGCTCTCCTCTGCACCAAACATTGCATTCTGGGTTTCAGAAAGGGGAGGCAGGTCTCCAAGGCAAGCCCAGGCCCTACCACCAGCCCTGATCATCCTGGGCCCAACCCTGTCAGAAGCAAAAGGTCCTCACCCAGACACACACACACACACACACACTCACTCTCTCCCCCCCACACACACACACATGCACGTGGGCACACACACACATACCAAGGGCCCTGACAATTAGGTCAGGGGTCTGCCCAGACTTTGAGCTTCTTCTCTCACCTCCACTGGGTCTCATAACATCATCCCCAGAACCAAGAACCAGAGTCCACTGTACCAACCTTAAAGGTCAGAGAACCCAGAAACCCTCCCCTCTTAATAGAGCCCCTTTTAGCCCAATGAATGAAAAGTCACATAACCAAAGTTTCAAGGGAGGCCTACTTACAGGTCAGTGTCCTTGGACTAGCCTACCTTCCCTCTCAGTTTCCTCACTGTGGAAATGGGAATAATAACTCATACTCTAGCTCGTGGTTACAAGGTGTGAAACAGACAATAGGTATAATGAGTTTAGCACAGAGTCTGGCATAGAGAAGGTGGTTAACATATCATTACAGAAGCAAGCGTTTCCTCCAGGGTGTGGCCAGGTGCTTAACAGAGGAAGAAGACCTCTGAGCCTCGACCCCCTCCACAGTGGCTCTAAAGCAAGGAGCCTCTCCTTCAGCTCTGGGAAGCCTGGGATCCTGCTAGAACCTCTCCTGGACCCAGTGGCTTTGTTGTCAGAGCTTGGAGCAACTTAGCACGGTCATGTTCCTGCAGCGTAACTTCTAGGAGGCCACCTTGGATTCTAGATAGTGTAGGGCTGGATATTCTGACCAATCCTTCCTTGGTGTAACAAATCTGCGTGCAGCGAAATGACTGGGTTTTATTTATTCAGTGACTTCTACCAGGAAGCCTTTCCTGAGAGATCCCTACCTAAGGTTCAGGGCTCCACCTAGCCAGAGGGTCCTGTTCCCTCTCCTCCAAATGAGCTCCTGCCCCCAGAGAGCTGGTGTTGGGTGCAGCTCCAGCTGCCAATCCCTCCCAGCCAGGAAACCAACACTGGAACTTATCCAAGGACCTCGCGTACAGCACCAGCCACCACTAGTCGCTCTTTCAGCCAGCCAGACCCTCATAGCGAGGCCTCTAGGCCGAGGAAGCCTGGTCATCACTTGGAAGGGGCGGAGACGCTGGGCCAGGCTGCTGCGGACCACGCCTCACGTGCTTCGAAGCAGCCCCACACTGCCCTCTGGCGGTGTTACCTGGAGATGCCTTCTTACCGCTCGCGCCTGGACTGGACACCAAATGCAGCAAATCAGAGGGCCTTACTCAGGTAAGACTTACTCAGGGAAGACTCAGAGGAACTCTGAACTCGTCTCCCAGTTCTAGGAACATCCTGAAAAGTATCTCCTGTTCCCTTCATTTCTCTTCGCTGAGGGGACCATCCTGAAAGTGTCTATGAAGTCATGAGGATAGGTTAGGGCCAATCTCCTGCCTAGGGGCACTGGCTGGAGCCTTCCAGCAACACAAACTGTGAGATCCCCAGGGGGTCCCTTGGCAATGATGATAACCAGAGAATACCTCCCATGCAGGGGAGCTGGGATACATTCTTTTACAAGCTGAGACCCTCTGGTTCAGTTCTTCTTGAGTTCCGAGCACCAAGAAGACATCAATGTCTGTTGGTTGAGAAGATAGAGCTAGGGAGAGCAGGGACCCTAAAGGTGGTCCTAGGTGGCCCAGGCAGGTGTGGAAGTTGACTTCTGTCACCTATGTGAAGGATAGTTGACGAATAACATAACCAGCAACAGCATCCATTTAACTGGATACCAAGGTCCTTGATGTGGGACAGTGGGGCAGTTAGTTGGTAGTAAAGGGAGGGGACAGAAGCCACCACTGACACCAGGACCAATCTACATCACCCTCCATAGATATGCTATTACCTCCAGAAAGAATCATCTCTAATTCCTTACCCTCTCCTCCTCCAAATCAGGCCAAAGCTGATTATCAATAAATCCTAGACAAAAGCAAAATTGTGGTAGCAAAAAGCACTTTACATCATTAGCTAAAAGCTTCTCTGGGCCAAGAGCCCCACCCTCTCACCCCCCTAAACCAGAAAACCAGCAATTCTGGCCGCAGCCCAGCACTGCAGCCAGAGCTCCCTCACTGTGTCACCTCCAGCAAGTCCTTGTGCTCACTGGGCCTCCAGTCCCCAAAGAGGCCACATTACTTTGGAATGTTCTCCCTCTCTGGAGAGGTTAGAGGATGCCAGTGACGCCCATTCTTCTACTCTTTTCCAGGTTCCCAAGCTCTGAAACCTCCTCCTGAACTTCTCTTCCACAGCTAGGAATGAGTTCAGGAAATCTTGGCTGTTAACCAGAAAACCAGATTGGTACCCAGAGAGATGAAGGACTGATGAGAGAGGGTCAGAGAAGAGTCCCTGGGGTTTAGGCTAACAGAGTTATGCACCTGACCTGAGCAGGATTCAACCAGAATCCCATTGACTTTGACGTATCCTCCTCCTCCTCTCCATTCCCAAACCTTGATGTGGAGGAAGGATGGTAACAGAGGAAACTGACCCAGAGAGGTGACTGCGTTGTTCTAGGGCACAGAGCAGACAGAGACCAACCAGTATTCCTCAGCTCCTACACCCAGGGCAAGAGATCCTATGGGAAGGGCATACAGAGGCCTGGACTGATTCTGTCCCTCACTGACCTTGAGAAGTCTCATCTCCTTCCTGCAGAAAAGAAGCCACCTTTAAACTAGCTTTTGGCAACATCAGTAAAAGCCATGCATGTTATTAGAGATAAATATAAGATCTGCAAGAATATAACATTGTTATATGACTTACAAGGGTAAGACAGCCCTCCTTAAGATGCATTGCAAAGCTCACTGGGGGAGAGGCAATGGAGGGGGAGGGAGGAATAGGTATAACAATGAATGAATGAATGAATGAAAACTCAAACTTTCCATAAACCTTTTTGTTAAAATCACACACAGCAAAAATAAATAAAAGACCTCTTTAAGTTCACCAAAGCCCTTTGCAGAAGGTAAGGAGACCCCCCCCCTTCCCAAGCTGACAAGTGAAGCTGCAGTGAGCCAGTGAGCAGTAAGGCAGCAACATTCAAAAATGAGTGGACAGAGGTCCTGTGGGGCTTTAGGACTGGAAGAGAAGCAAATTTATTTCAGGTCTGGCCCTTTAAGGCCTCCTTCTCTAGCAGCTGATGCCATACCTGTCCCCTGGGGCCTGTTAAAGGCTATCACCTGGCTCTCTCCCTGGCAGAACCTTTTTAGAGACTAGATTGGGGGGAGGGAGTTCTTTAGGTCTTGCCTGGTTAGGCCCCCTAGGAGATCAAGTGAGGCTGAAAGGCAGTTGCCAGAGAGCTCTGGTTTTCGAAAGGCTGTAGGCTTACCAAGATTGCACAAGGACATGAAAAAAGCTGTCTCCTACCGGGAGAAGGATGCAAATATTATAAGTATAATGGGAACAAATCCTCACCTCTCTGGGATTCTATCTAACCAGATGGGACGCAGGGTCTTAGGGGCGGAAAACTCAGTCGTACATCCCCGTGCCAGCCCCCACTCCAGTCTTCAACCTCATCGTACTGCTCTCCTGATGACATGTAGCTGGACACTCTCAGAAAGCAACAACCTCAAGGGCAGGAGTCTTATTACAGTTGGGCAGTGGCGTACGGAACGGGGGCGGGGAAGGTGCTGCATTAGTGCAGCAGGCTCAAACTGGTAAAAGTTTGCTGCCAGACCACTCCTGAAATCCGAACACTGAATGTATCCCAACTCCACAGTGCTATCATCTCACCCACGAGGTCTGGGAGAAGCAGTAAAGGGAACAGCTTTATTCGGGCCCCAGTAACCTCCACAAATCCCCAGAAAGGGAAATCGGGGTTCTTGCACCACCCATCCGGACCCTCAAATGCACCAGCCGCTAATACTGCACCTCAGCCTCCATTACTGGGCCCCCGGTCCCCCCCGACTGACTCTTCTTGTGGCCGTCTGTCCATCCGCGTCGGTGATGCCATCCATCCAATGGGAAGTCCACAATCTTCGGTCGGTATCTCGGCGATGGCCGGTTTTAGTTAAGGGGGAGTTGGGGGTCCAAGTGCGGGGGTCAGCGCTGGGGGGAAGCGGGACCTCGAGGCGGGCTGCGGCGGAAGGGTGAGTCGGGCTCCGGGCCGTGGCCTCGCCGCAGGCGCCCGGCACCCCAGGGCACGCAGCCGCCCAGGCCGAGCGCCGAGGCGAGCAGCGCGGGCGGGCGGGCCCGGCGGCCACGGCGCGGGCCCTTCTTGAGGCGCGGCCCGTGCGCCGCCAGGTAGAGCTCGGCCTGCGCCACGCCGCCCCCCAGGCGACCCAGGCTCTCGGCGCGGTGCGCAAGGCGCAGCTCCGCCGCCAGGAAGACACGGTGCAGCTGCAGGACGCGGCTCTCCAGCTCCGACACCAGGCGCCGGCGACCCTCCACTTCCAGCAGCCGCCGCCGCGCCTCGGCCAGCTCCAGCGCGCGACCCCCGGTCCCCGTTGCGCCGCCGCCGGTTGCCAGCCCGGGACCCCCAGGCCCTCCGCTAGCTCCCTGGCGCCATCGCTGTAGCTCCTGCCCTTCAGCAGAGCCAGCCGACTCCGGGACCGCTTCCGACGGGGCCTGGACCGGGGTCAAGGTCGGAGTTGGGGGCGGGGGCGGGGGCTGAGGGGACGGCACAGACTCCCGGGGCGGCGGCGGGGACCCCGGCTCGGCCGTCCCTTCCTGGGCCCCCGGGCCGCAGGCGCTGATGCGGCAGCCTGGCATCCCCCGCCCCCACCGGCGGTCAGCGGCTGTTGGTCCGCGGGTTTAGCGGACTGTCCTCTCGCACCGGAGAGGATGGATGCAGAAATCCAGGGATGGGAGATTTGGCCGCAGCCTCCAGACCAGCGCCGGCCGCTGATGCATCTTATAGGAGGAGCGATGGCCTGCGCAGCCAATCACAGGCTGGCATGCGTTGGACCCGCCTGCTTATTCAAGCTCCCCAAACCCCAGGTCTGTATTCCTTCGCAGTGACTCGGCCGGGTTGGTGGTGTTATGCCATCAAGTCACTTGGGACTCATAGCGACCCTATGTACAACAGAGCTTAACAGTGCTCTATCTTGGGCCAATTTTATTACCTCCGATACACCTACCCCATTACCCCAGTCACTGAGTCAGTCTGTCTCATACAGGGTCTTCCTCTCTTGTGCTATCCTTCCACCCTTCCAAGCATGATGTCCTTCTCCAAGGACTCATGGCAACATGCAAAAGGTATATGAGATGAAGCTTTAAAATCCTTGTCTCCAAAGAGCAGCCTGGTTTCACCCTCTCTAGGACAGACCTGTTTGCTCTCTTGGCAGTCCATGGTGTATATGAAGTACTCTTCTCCAGCATCATAACTCAAAAGCATCAATTCTATTATCTTTAGTCATTGTCCAGCTCTCTGATGCATAGAAAGTAATTGTGAAGGCCATGGCTTGGATTAGGTGCACCTTAGTCTCTAAATTGACATTGCTGCTCTTCAATACTCTGGAGAAGTCCCTGACAGCTCCAATACAAGGGGCCTCTTGATTTCCTGGCTGCTGTTACCAAGAGTGTTGATTGTGAAGCCAAGCGTTGAAGCTGTTAACAATCTCAGTCTCCATCTATCTTCCCCATCTATCATGATACTGCCAATTGGCCCAGTGGTAAAATCTTTGTTTCCTTGATGTTGAGCTTCAATCAGTATTGAAGGCTGCAGTCCTTGACCTTCTGCAGCAAGCATGTCAGGTCCTCAGTTTCAGCAACGAAAGTTGTGTTTTGCATAACACAAGTTGTTGATGAGTCTTTCTCCAATCCTGATGCCACATTCCACCTTGTAAAGTCCAGCCTTCCAGATGATCTGTTCCTCATATAGATTCAAAAGGTATGGAGATAGGACGCATCCCATCTAACTGTCATTGGGCAAGTCATCTCTCTGACTGGTAGACATGCTCCACAATTTTTTATAGAATAAATGAATGTTCTCTATCCCTTCACAACATGCCTAGAAGAGACCAGTAGCCTTTTCTTCCTGATGAGAAACCAAAGCTCAGAGAATTAAAGAGGCTTGTCTAAAGTCACACAGCTGCTAAGTAGCCAAACAAGGATTAAACATAGGTCTGACTTGCCCCCAAGGCATCCCTGACCTCCTTCACAATGTTTCCAGATTCTATCTTTCATGGCATTGTCTACAAGCCATAGATATATATTTATTGATACATAAATTTGTTGTTTAGTAATTTAACAGTCTCTCTCCAAGGCTGATTCTCCTTATCATTAAAATTCCCTGCAGTCAGTCAAGCAGAGTTGTCTGTAAAGGTTTGTTTAAATTGAAAAATAATACAAGAGTAGAAAACGGAGAGGGCCTCTTTTCCACTCACCTGTTCATTCATTCATTCTTTCTGTCTGTCATTCATTCACCAAATGTAGCCATTATCTCCTCTGCAGGACTGGCTGCTGGAAGTGCCACAATAATTAGATGGGGCCCTGTCCTTGGGGAAACACGCAGTTTAGAGTTGGTGCAGGAAGAAGATGGCAGTTCAGAGGGGTGCTGGGTGGGATGGGGGAACCACAGGGGCTGTGGAGGCACAGTGCTGATGCAGCCCACATAGGAGGAAAAGGAATCAGGAAGGACATCTTGGAGGAAGTGGTAATTAAATGGAGAATTCAGGGATAAATTAAAACTGAGTGATGCAGAGTCGGTGAGGAATGGGAAAGAAGAAGGTTTCAGGAAAGAAAAAGAACACATATGCAAAGGACCGGAGGTAAGAGAGATTTGTCATCTGCCAACTTTCTCAATTGTCCTGAGAGCCACACCCCAGGAACAGTCAGTGGTCACAGCCAACCACTTAGTGCTGTCAGTTTAGCAAACAGCAACATCTGGAATTGGGAAATACATTTTTAAACTATAAGAATTACTGTAGACATGATGGTAGGAAGGGTTGAGTGTTGGCAAAGGAGAGGAAGACCCTCAACTAGGCGGATTGACACTGTGACTGTTGCAATGTGCTCTTGTGTGTCAGGAAGTGTGACAATGGTGCAGGAGAGAACAGGGTTCAGATCTTTTGTTCATAGGGTCGCTTTGAGTTGTACTCGACTCAATGGCACCTAATAACATCAACAATTCTTGAGGAGGTTTTTATTCTTTTTCGTGTGTGTGTGTGTGTGTGTGTGTGTGTGTGAAAGAGAGAGAGAGAAAAGAAGAGAGCGTCGTGAAGCTCTGCAAAGCAAATCAGTTTTGCACTCAGCAGATTGTGCCAATTTTGTTTCATGTCTTTGATTGCAATCACCACAGTATAACATCACTCATCTTGCCTCCCCTCTACTGTGTTTTTTTCTAATCTTTATAGAAGCTATATATTCCCTTTGTAAAATAGCTGAGAAATAGAGAACATGCTAAAATATTTTGAAAGAATGTTGTTATGTGTCATCAAATTGCCTGCAACTCATAGTGACCCTATGTACAATAGGTCAGAATCCTGCTCTATCCTAAGTCAGTCTCATTGTCTCCGACACAACCATCCCCATTACCTCAGTTACCTATATTAATCCATCTCAGCGATGTTTCCCTTTCCTGCACTGTTCCTCCACCCTTCCATGTATGATGTCCTTCTCCATGATGTCCTCCTGGCCACATACCCAAAGTATGGCTTCAAAATCATTACTTCCAAGGAGTAGCCTGATTTTACTCTGTCCAGGACAGACCTGTTTGTTCTTTTGGCCTTCCATAGTATGTTCAAGACTCTTCTCCAGCACCACAACCCAAAAACATCAATTCTTCTTCTATCATCTTTAGTCATTGTCCAGCTCTCAGGCACATCTTTGTCTCCAGACTGACAATGTTGCTCTTTAGCACTTTGGCAAGGTCCCTGACAGCAGATTTTCCCAATGCAATTCATCTTTTGATTTCCTGACTGCTGGTGCCGAGACTGTTGATTGTGGAGTTGAGCAAGCTGTAATTGCTAACAACCTCAATCTCTTCTCCATCTATCATGGTGCTGCCAATTGGCCCAGTGGTGAGAATCTTTGTCTTTTTGATGTTGAGCTTCAAACCAAGGGAATAGAGTTTGGGATCAGAGAAACTTGGATTTGAGTCAAAGCTTACCGTGGGGTGCAACCTCCTGAAAGGCATTTTTCCTTTGAACCTCAGAGTGTTCATCTGAGAAGAGGATCTGTTAATACCTTTAATGCACGCAAGGGCACAAGTGCACAGATAGATGCAGGAATCTTGCCCAAGATCTTACAAACTGGACATGGAGCTGAAACATATCCAACTGTGCTGAGTCAAAGACCCTGAAAGAGAAGAAGCATGCAGACAGGATCAGGCTCCAGAGCCTGCCCACCAGACATGCCTCTTTTCCAGGACAACCAGCAGAAGCAGCCCTCAGAGGGGACGGTGAATGTGACTATGGCCCCAAACAGACTCCCCCCATGGGCTAAGAATAGGGTGGGTTGGGGGTAAAGGCCTTAAGTGCCCATTTCCATCCTAGCCTGGAAGATTGGAGGCCTCTGCTAAGAGATCCACCCCTCCCGTTCCGTCTCTTCCTGGCAACCTGGCCCGGCACCCTCTAGGATGTGATCTCAGTTTAATAATTTAGCAGATGCAGACAAAGATAGCAGCTCTGAAAATAACTCATCCAGGCCTCCAGCCTCCACCTCCCCTCTCTCCGGCAAACTCTTCTACCCACCCCTCAAGCTCTCTGGCTATTCCACACACCTGTCAGTACACCTCCTTATCTTTCCTCTTCTTGCCCTTCTCCCTCAGCTTCTCCTTCCCTCCACTCTCATATGAAAGGTTTTAGATCAATAAAGGCTTAAAGGAACTTGTCCTAGAAGATAAATGACTGGGCTTTCATTCACTGTGTGGTCTCAGCAAATCTCTGCCGTCTCTGAGCCTCTGTTCTACATTCATAAAATGAGTCTTCTGCAGTCTGAAATGTGACATAAACAACATATTGAGGAGAGGGGTAGCTGCTAAGACAGGGGACAGGATGCCTTTCCCAGGAAGGCAGTGCCAATGTGTGTGTCTCAGTCACCAGTACTCATTCCATCCTGTTGCTGCTCCAACCAGGGTGCTCACAGGTTTTCTTTGTTTTTCATTTCCCCTGTGATAACAGTTTTGTCTTGATTCTTATTCATGGAGTCACCTTGGTGACGCAGTGGTGAAAGCATTCAGCTCGTGGTGATTCCAATCCAGCACCAAGGGAGAAAGATATGGCGGTCAGCTTCCTTAAGAGATTGATAGCTTTGAAGTCTAGGAGACAGTTCTCCTGTCTTACAGGGTGACCGAGAGTCAGAATAGATTCAACAGCAGTGAGATGATTCCTAGAATGAAAAAAGACTCTGAGAGGAATCTCGCTACCATTAAGAGAAAAGCAGAGAATTTGATGTGTCCTTTTGGGCCAGAGATTCCTGTGTGTGACAGACCAGGACAAAGAACAGAGCAGCAGAAGCAGAGGAGGTGGAGAACCAGAGACCAACACAGGTCAGAGTTTAACTGAAACTGTCGCCCCACAGCCAGAGCTGAGGGTTCGCACAGGTTTACTTGAAGACTGGGAGAAGCTATAATGAGCAGGACTAAAAGACTGCTGTAACTCTGGTTCAGAGCCACAGGCTGAAAGTCAGGCATGTCTGAGAAGCTGTCCTGACTGAAGAAGTATATGCTGACTATTACCAACCTGAATTGTAACTCCCCCAGTTACTTGCTGTGCATCAGAAAGCTGGACAATGACTAAGGATGATAGAAGGAGAATCAATGCCTTTGA